AACTTTTGTTTATGGAATTAATGTTATATTGATGTTAATTTTTGTTTATGGAATTAATGTTATATTGATGTTAACTTTTGTTTACCAATTTGCCCTTATCATTGAAATAAAATAATTTTTTAATATTTTTTATTTTTTAATTTCCTAAAATAAAGTAAACTAATCTTAGCCATTGATCAAGAAAATGAACAGATAAGATTGGTTTACACGGTTTACACAAATGGGGCAAGTTTTTATTTGAACGCTCGTCTCTCTCTCTATATTAAAAAGTTGGACTTTTCTAACCGAACAAGTTGTATGTTATGAAAAAGGCCCCCAATGGATAGACTTTTTTGTCATGGACATTTTTATAACAAAAAGCTCTCTAATAACCTTCCTTAGAAGTACTCAAGTTATAAAATCAACCCATAATTAATATACATATAACTTTTACAGTGGCAACTATTTTTTAAGAAAACGGTTATATATATATATATATATATATATATAATTGATTGTGTTGTGTATTTTATATTAGACAAATTGTATGAAAATATAATGTACCTTGTTCTGATTCTTATCATATGTAACATATTTTTGTATATCAAATATGACATCGTAGACATTTATGTACATATATTACATATAAAAATACATGAAAAGACAATGTACTTTGATTTGATTCATATTTTCTGTAATGTATTTTGGTTTAAATAATTGAGATATCACATTTGAGGTACCAAAATGAAGATTCTAGAAGTACGTCCTATAAAATAAAAAATAAGATCAAAATACGTTGCATTTTCATACAACTTGTTATTTTGTATTTTACATATGAGAATGGTTTTTTTTGGATATTTTGGAATATTTATTTTTTATATAGAATGTCAAATACCCCTTTTTTATTCTTCAAGATCCAAGGGCTTTAAGCTATCCTCCAAACATACCTTTTTGCGATCCTCTTCCTATATATATATATCATTCATTGTTCACAAGAAAACCAAGAAACACATCCCCCTTCACCCCTTTACAATGAAAATGAGTTCTTCCTTCCATTCATGTTTCTCTCTTTCCCTCTTTTTATTTCCCTTCATTTTCTTCTCTGTCAATGGCCAAAACATCATTTATGACACTTGCAAAACCTCCTCACAACAAGACCCTAATGTGAACCTCCAATTCTGCACCACCTCTCTCCAAGCTGCACCGGCTAGCCACTGTGCTGACCTTAAGGGTCTAGGGATGATGTCGATCAGGCTGACACGATATAATCTCACTGACACCAGGTGTTACATCAAACAGTTGTTGAAAAAGAACACAAAGAAGCTTGATCCATACATAAAGTCGTGTCTTGATGATTGTTTTGAGCTCTACTCTGATGCTATCCCGGGTATCAAGCAGGCTATGAAGAGTTACAATTCTAAACGTTATTTCGATGCAAATGTTCAGATCAGTTCTGTCATGGATGCGACCACCACTTGTGAAGATGGGTTCAAACAGAAAAAGGGCGTCGTTTCTCCACTGACGAAGAAAAATGATATGACGTTTCAATTATCTGCTATGTCGCTTTCGATTATGAACATTCTTCAAAGTGGTTCGAATTAAATTCGAACACATCATTATGTATAACATCATTTTAAATATTTTTATATATAAAACCATTTTTAGTTATTCATTTTATTTTCAAATTAGTTTTCTTATTCTTTTTAATTTATTTTATATTTATCATATTGTCGGATAACCCAAGGTTGAACTTTGGTGAATTCTTATGGTTTTGGTGACGGTTCCAAAGGAACTAAGAGAATATACTTATTTATTTCATTTCATTTCATTTACAATATATGAATGTTTAGTCATCTAAAATTAGATAACTTATTTTAAATATCAAATTTGGATTTGATTTGATTATTTAACATGGCCATGGTTCTATGCGTGTAACAAACATAAATATCGTTACAAATTTTAGATATTATCATAAAAAAATTGATTTTTAATACGTTTTTATTATATATATATATATATATATATGTATGTGTGTGTTAAAGAAGTATCATATAAAAAATTAACATGATAATTATTTCATAAATATATAATTAATTATTTACAATATCAATAATATGGATAAACTTACAAATAAATTTTCATGTGTTGTTTCACCTATGAATCAAAGAATATAAAAACATAGGGCCTCTTTGGTTTTTCAAAATTAACTCTTAATACATTGGAAGCCTGATTCGTTCGGACGTTTGAGTATTAAGCGCATTTGTTTTAGTTTCAAAATAAGAGCTTAAAAGCTCTAAATATCTTCTGAAATATTAAGTGGTAAATATATCCTTTAACACCTATTAATTCTAATTCGCCTTCTATCATATTGTTCATATTTTGAGAGGTGGAAGAGATTTGTTAGCAAAAACTATTCATCTTTTATACTTTTGTAAAAAAAACTATTTATTTTTTATATTTTTGCACTAATTTGACTGTTCAGATTTCAGAGTTCAGACGTAAAAACAAACAATCTTACTGATCCAGATTTTAGACTTCATGACTATCTCTTATAAATTAGAAGTGAAATCGAACTTCAAATTTTAGCATCTATTATAAAACAAACGTCACCCTAGTGATGTTTTTATATAGTTAACCCTCTAGCTCCTCCATCTCCACCCACGAGAAACAAGATAACGAATAAAAACAATTGTTATATCATGGATATTAACATAATATAACAAAATCAGTTAAATTTGAAATTATTTCATTAAATTTAATTGACATATTATACTTTATATCAATATTATACAATCGAACTATTTTATAAAATGAATTATAAAATAGTTTTAAACCATATTTATTTATCTTGTGCTTAAAGTGTACAACTTAATCATTTGGGCTTTTAGAGGTGCACAATGTTACTTTAAGCAATCTTTTTTAGATAAAATTTCAAAATGTTTACTAATATCTTTGTACTCAAGTTTATTACAAGAAATAATATAAAAACATGATAAATTGTATTAAAAATAATTATAGAATTTTTAATTTTATTATTAGATTTTAAAAATCCTTAACTGACGGAAAAATATTATATTGATTACGAAGTTAATATATTTTTTGCTCTTCATAAAGTTACGGGATGTTCACTTAATTTCATAGAAAACACAGTGCATCTTTTTAATTACATCAGAGACATAATACGCATTCAAACTGTAGTTTTTGAAAGTTAAAACCACTATCACCTCAAAACATGGGACATACTGACGGAAAAATTCGTCTGTAAAGTTTAATCCGCTAGTGATCCGTTGGTGAAAGCCTATAGGTAGAAAAGTCATGGAAAAAGGTATCGGTGACGGATCACTGGCTATCACCTTTTCCGATAGATCACTGACGGATTGACATCACTGATGAATACTATTACATATTGATTCACTGATGAACACTATTACTAACGGATTATCGATGGGCACGATTGCCCAAACTCGTCCGACGGATCACCAACGGTCATGTTGATTTTGGTATTGGAAAAATAAAAAAATTGACGGTAATTTTAAATTAATTTTATTAATGATTTTCCATGTATCTATCGCTAATCCATCAGAAATCACCGATGGATTAGCGAATGACATGTAGAAAATCATTAAAAAAGAGTTAATCAATCGTTAATTGGTTAGAAAATATTATCGACGGATATTTTTTTTCATTGGAAAAAGTACCCTTGGTGTGCTATCCATCGTTGTTCCGTCGGGAATAATTGACGAATTCTGGCCGTCGGCAATATCCATGGGTGAAAGTTTGTTTTCTAATGATTACGGGTGCTTATGGGTAGGGTTGATCGGATTGAAGATATTTAAACAACCCAACCCAATGCTTACGATTTGAAAAATCTCAACCGCACCCTAACCAAACCAAAGTGCAACCCAACCTACCCCAACTTTACAGGTTGGTAGGTTGATACTTTGGTACATCCAAATATTCTTCTAATCTTAAATATGTTGTTTTATCTAGTTTACTCATAATTTCTTTTTTATCATTAACCATTTGGTATAATTTATCTACTTCTTAAATCTTAATTGTATCATATTCAATTAATTTTCTCAATTTCTACACACACACATGCAGGCACACACACACACAGAGACACACACACATATATATATATATATATATATATATATATATATATANATATATATATATATATATATATATATATATATATATAGGGGCATAATCAAATGAGAACTGTTTTGTTTGTGGTAACTGTGAGATCCAATTTCAACCACAAATCAAAGGTTAAATTAATAATTTTGGTAATTTTAACTTAAAATATTAATTAAGAGCATTTTAGGGATTTTATAAATATCATCTCTCGTCTCTCCTCTTTCATCTCTCTGGTGAATCTTATGTGGCGAACCTTATTCCGATTAAACTTATGTGAACACAAGATACACACTATGATACCTACAAACGATATTCATTGTGATACCCAGAAATACGTACAAGATGCACAATGTGATACCCTTGGTAAAACAATGAAAAAAATGCACACTATGATACATTTCATAAAACAACGAAATTACATTGTGATACACGTGAAACATTGTGAATGTTATCACTATGATACACTTTGATTCACACACGTCGTTAAATACGATGTTTATTAGGTAATTAATGTACTAGATAACTAATTTTAATGTTAACCAAGTTTATTGTGTTAAGTTTATTGTGTTAACTTTGATTCACACACGTCTTTAAATACGAGAGAGAGAGCCTTCTTCAAATGTTAACCAAGTTTATTGTGTTAACTTTGTTAACCATTTTCAACCAATGACAATCCATCTTATATATAACATCATATTCATCTTATAATTTAATGACAAGAGTAAATTTGTAATTTTTTTTTATGAAACTCCCATATCATTAATTGGGAGTTACAAAATCAAAAAATCTCAAGATTTTTTATAAATTTATTATTGATCTTTTTTTTTATAATACTGATTTTTCTATCTATAATGTGTTTGAATATGTGATTGGTAGAGGAAACCCAGTAGTAAAGTTTTTGTTATCGTTCAAGCTATTATGGATAAATCCATTGTTCATAATGAAGGAATTATTGTTCACAAGTGTTCATATTGTATTCATATGTACACTAGCTGCATATCTCAACATTGGCTCGCTCCTGAATGTGTTTATAACGAAAGAACTATTGTTCACAAGTTGTTCATATTGTGTTCATATGTACACCAGCTGTTGTTAGACCCCATAATTCTTATTGTAAAAGTAATGAAAAATGCACAAGTATGGAAGTCCGGAGGACTGAGGGAAGAAAAGCTGGAAAAGATTCTAAGTGCTTGAAGGCAAACCAGATATACGATGAAGTGTTCAATCAGATATACTCAAGTGAAGCAGAAACGTGAAGAATCCTGGTTGAGCATACTACCTTGAGACAGTTGGAGATGACTCATCGATAGCTGGAATTTTGTTACACAAGGTAGTTAGAGATAACTTCATATTTCTAGATAGATATCTTTTCCTAGTTTATCTCATAGATATCCTTTTACTAGATTGTTATCTCTTAGACTAGATTGCTAGTATAAATAGCATTCACATGTCTTGTAAAATAAGTAATCCTTCTCATTACAATTATTATAGTAAAATTTCTTGAAGCTTTATATTCTCTTGAATATCATACAAGATGTTCTTCACTATTCTTAATAGATACGATATATTTAGTTTCTTTAATGTAAATCTTTGTGTTATATTGAGAGATCTGTGATTAACAACTAGTATCAGAGCAAATTGATTGATTTCCAATCAAAACGATCAATTTGAATCTGAGTATTCAAATCTCTCAAATTTTCTTCATTCTCATAATTTCTTCTTCTCTTTAAAATCTCTTCAATGGCCAACTGGAATTCTGCCTATAGTATTAGTTCCCTCACCAAGCCTTCAATTCTTCAACTTGAAGAGTATCCACAATGGAGTATAAGGATGATGAATTTCCTGAAGGGAATGGACGAACCTTCTCAGCTCTGTTATGGAAAGTCCCAACATTCCCCAAACTCTTATCCCAAGAGTTCCCGGAACAAGCACTACTGAAGAAGTAGCAGCTTATTACATGGTGAAAGGTAAGAGCAATTGGGACGAGGACGACATAGAGAGAGTAGAAACTGAGAGGAAGGCTAAGAGGTTGATTATAATGGCTATTCCCAATGATATTTTTCAATATCTAAATGCTTGTACCACGACCAATGAGATATGGGACGAACTTGCAAGCCAACTGGAGGGAGGAGCTAAAACAAAGAAAAATCAAAGGGCGCAATGTTTAAATGAATATAGTAATTTTAAAGCATTGCCTGATGAACCAATTCAGAAGACCTATGACTGATTCAACGTATTGATAAATCAATGCCGTAGAAATGACATTGCAAGGACGAAAGAGGAAAACAACGTCTTATTCCTCAAAAGTCTCGGTGATGAATGGACTCAACTATCTATGTCTTTGCAAGCAAATCAAGACATAGACAGCTGGTCACTTCATGACGTCTATGGAACACTTGCTGCCCAAGAGCAAGAGATTCTGAAAAGGAAGGTGTCCATCGGAGGACCTCTTGCCTTAGTGTCTGAAGAAAAGGAGGTTTCAAGGGGCTCTTCTAAAGAACATAAAAAGAAGA